GCGGGGGGCGGGGCCGGGTCCCAGGCAGGCGCCGGAGGTGGTGACCTTGGTGCTGTGGGAGGAGAGGGGAGGGTATCTGGGGGGCTCTGGGGACCCGGAGGGGACGCGGGGGAAGGGCGGGTAGAGACGGGACGAGGGCCCCGCGGGAGCTCTGCCTTCCGCGGCTCCACCTGCTCCTCTCTCGCCCCTAGGACACCATCACGTGGACGTGGCAAGGCCCCGGAGCGTAAGTCACTCCCCTGGGAAAGCACTCTGGTTGCGTTACAACCGCGGAAGCTGAACAGGGCCCTGCTGCTGTGTGGCGGGAGCTCCACGTGCACACCTGGCCGTCCTTACCCCAGACTCGGGCCTGAAGCTAGCGTCTTCAGCCCCTGGGGTCTGTCTGCTTGGCAATTATCATCTTGTCCTTGACCCAGGCCTAGAAAAAAAAGCAGAGCTCTGGGGGTCTGCCCTCCCCTTGCCCAGCTCCTGGGGGGTGGGGGCGGGGCAGGGAGGCGCACGGGGACCCAGGACTGTCAGGCTTCCGGGGGCTGTTTGCCCTGGTGTTCGCAACCGGCAGGCTGTGCAGTGTTGCTGGTCCGAGCCCTGCCCAGACGCCCAGCCTTGCCCAGGCGCTCGGAGCAGACCCCGGGGCAGCGCCATGAGGGGCAGCACATCCCCGTGGTGGTCTTAGGGCTTCCGAGGCTGGAGAGTGGAGGGCAGCTGGCGGGAGGTGGAGTGGAAGGGTGCGTAGGGCTGGGAACAGGCTCCTCTGGGTCCTCGTGGCCTGGGCCCGGGTTGGCAGTGACGAGGCAGAAGTGGGGTGTGTGAAGAGGAGGATGTGAATCAGGGGAGCGAGCAAGGGCCTAAGGACAGGGGACTCTGGACGGCTCCCCGTCTCCCACTCCTGTGAACGAAAGGCTGTTCCGAGGGCAGGAACTCTGGGAGCCGGGCTTGGGAATGGCATGACTTGGGACCTGTCCCTTCTGTGCTCCCCGGGGACAGCCAGGCCGGGGACAGGTGTCAGGTGGCCAAGGTTTCCCGAGCTGGAGGACAGACGTGGGAAACGGTGGGCGGCACAGCAAAGCGGAGCTGCAGGTGCGGTGTATTTACTAAGAACCGTGGAAACCACGTGGGGCTCGCCCTGGCAGGGGAAGGCTGGGCGCCAGCTCCTGGAGCAGGACTTAGTGCCCAGCAGTGCCCTCTGCGGGGGAGGGCTCTGCAGATCTTGCTCCAGAATTGGAAGTCGTTTAACTAAACGGAATCTTTTAACCCACGCTGGAAATCTATTCGTTTTTAAGGCTGGAAATCCTGTGGCTCACGCTGTGCCAGTTTCACAATCGAGTGGAGATTGAGGTTTGTATGGACGCAGTGGACAGCGCGTGGGGGGGGGGCGTGGACACATCGTAACACGATGCATCGAGGTCTCTAGATGCGATGTTGTACGGGGTCGCGTTGGGGGTCCGTACGGACGAAACGTGATGGGCTGTCGCAGATACCGTGTCGCGTGGGGGTCCGTGTAGATGAAGCGTCGCGTCGTCTGTGCAGCTACAGCGTCTGTCACCTGTCCCTGTCTTGCTTTGAGCTTTTTTTCCGTGGCTCCTGCGAGGTGCTTCCCAGTGCTCGTGCGGCCGTCACTCTGTGTCTGTTGCATGATTCTGAATACATTCAGATAGGATTTGTAAAGCAACAAGGAAGATAAATCGGTCATTGTTTTATGGTTAGCATAGCTTAAGGGCATGTAAAGTTGGCACATATGCAGTGAATTTTTTTTTTTTTTTTTTTTTTTTTGGCTTTTATTTTCGCCTGATACTAATACTGCTGAATCCGTACTGCAGAATTTGTCACACTGTCGTCCCTGCTCACTACCTGGTCAGGTCGTGTGGCCCGCCTCCCGTTGGGTGTCTCAGACAAAACCACGACGCCCATTCTCTTGGCCAAGTTAAATAGAGTCATAGTCGTTCAGCTTGTAAATTTTACGTGCGTGGATGAGGAGTAGAGTTTATTTTCTTAAAAGGGGAATTAACAGGCCTGTCCTGCTGCCTTCCGATAAGTCTCGCAGTGACGCTGAGCTGACAGACGAGCCGGCTTCCAGCCAGCTTTCCCACCTCGGTGGAACATAAGCCACTTCATACGCAGGACTGAGCTGGAGGGGCCTTGGCCGGAGCGCAAGGGCGGCAGGCCTGTTCACGTGGCTCTTCTGGCAGCTGGGAACGCGGTGGAGCCAGGCTCTGAAGGGCCGGGCCGGCCTCTCGGTGGGAGCAGCTCCGTGTCAGACCTGGCTTCTCATTTTAAGGGTGGGAAAGCAGCCGTCTGACTTGTGAAATCGCTCTGGACGCCTCTGCCGGCGTCACCCGTCACAGAGGCCAGGCCGGTGTGGGGGCTGCTGCAGCTTGCGCGCTGCTTTCCGACCTGGCGCTGAGTGAGAGGGCGAGTTCGTGACGAGGACTGACGGGACTCCAGGACGTCCCCGTCCCCGTCAGCACCCGCATTAAAGGAGGGTGGTGGTCGCCGCCTCGTGTGCACGGCGGGATTTGCTTAAAACCCCGCGCGTGGGTCGCTCACTCATGGCGCGTGTTTGCGGGACAGTGTATCGTATCTCCAAGTGCAGTAGATGTCAGAGTCGATAATAGTCGTCCACCTGGAAACGGTTTGCTGTGCTGTCCCCAACACAAAACTGAGACCTTTAGCGAAGGAGGCACACCTGTCATTCTGCACGTGTGACGACAGACCCTGGGTGGGATCTCAGATACCGGCGCTGGCCCCAAGAGCTGCCATCCGGGGGCGGGGGGGGGGGGGCTCCTGGCGGGGGATGGTGGGCTGGAAGTTCTCACACACACGCGTGCGTGCCTGTGTGCACGCGTGTGCGCATGTGTACGTGAGCATTTCAGAGATGATCACTGTGGCCTGTGTGCACGCGTGTGCGCGCATGTGTACGTGAGCATTTCGGAGATGATCGCCGTGGCCTGTGTGCACGCGTGTGCGCGCATGTGTACGTGAGCATTTCGGAGATGATCGCTGTGGCCTGTGTGCACGCGTGTGTGCACACGTGTACGTGAGCATTTCGGAGATGATCGCCGTGGCCTGTGTGCACGCGTGTGCGCGCATGTGTACGTGACCATTTCAGAGATGATCGCCGTGGCCTGTGTGTGCACGCGTGTGTGCGCACGTGTACGTGAGCATTTCGGAGATGATCACCGTGGCAGGTGCTTTGGCAGATCCCCGTTTTGTCTGACTCACGGCTGTCACTCGTGGCTGTCACTCACGGCTGTCACTCACGGCTGTCACTCGTGGCTGTCACGGCGGCGCGGGCGAGGCAGGCGTCCTGCGGGCCCCGTGGGAGTGACACCGCCTTCTCCGTGTGCTCAGTTCCTGCCCGTGTACAGCCCTTCGGAGGAGGAGAAGGAGGACCCGGCTCTGTACGCCAGCAACGTGCGACGCGTCATGGCAGAGTGAGTGAG